CGCCCCGCCTCCCCGCGCGTTGTGGGGGGGGGGGGGCTCAGCCCCGTCCCCGCGCTGGGAAGGAGCCACCGCAGATTGTGACAATAACATTTGCTGGTGACCTGCGCGCCGGGGCCGTCTTTACAGAGGAACAATAATCTCTCCAGAGGAGATGAAAAGAATTCTAATTACATCTCCCAACAATATTTGTTTTGAGCAAGGAAAGCAAACCATATGGCATGTGGGAGACTGTTTGGGGACTGCATTAAGCAAGGACTTTTCATTCATGTGCTGATCTAAGCAGAGATGCGATCAGGCTTTATTTAATCATCACATCTTGGAGGTGCTGGGGTCCTGTGCCTACCTGAGGGCTGGGGGTCTGGGGTTGTGGCATGGGAGTGGGGGGGCTCAGGAGCTCCTGCTCCATCCCTTTCCCTTCACTCTCTTTGCAAAGTGCTGGGACCCAGAGGGTCTGGGGAAGGGACACTGGGACTGGCAAGGAGCAGTTGAGGACAGGAAGTGTCCACCTGCATGGCAAGGACCTGTGCCGTGCACCCAGGATGCCGGGTCTGTTTGGCTGGGAAGGGGTCCAGGCTCTCCTGGTGACCCTGCTTGCATGGCTGGCAGCATTGTCCCTCGCCACAGTGGCGGCATAATCCTTTGTTGGGGAGGTGGCATCGTCCCTTGCTGGCTGGTGGCTCGTCCCCACAGGTGCCCACAGCCCTGGCTCTGTCTCCTGCAGCCCTGTTCACCGAGACCCCCCACGACATGACGGCGCGGGCGGGCGAGGACGTGGAGATGGCGTGTTCCTTCCGAGGCAGCGGCTCCCCCTCCTACTCCCTCGAGATACAGTGGTGGTACGTCCGCAGCCACAAGGACTGGATGGACAAACAGACATGGGCTTCTGACCAGGTAATGCCCCTTGTCCTCCCCCTCCGGCAGCAACTGGAGGCAGAGCTCATCCCTTCTCTCACCTGGGGGTTTGCTGGCAGCAGCAGTTGGGGTTTGGGGGGTCCCCATCCTGCTGTGGGTCCCCAGTGCTGACTGTTCCTGCAGCCAGTGGGGCACAACTCCGTGCTCGGGGGCAGAAGGGAATCTGGGGGTCCTGGGGTGCCAGGCCACCCCTGGGTGTGTGGCTGTCCCAGAGCTGCTCCGGGTGCGTGGCCGGCGAGGCCGGGCTGTCCTGGCCACCCTCCCGAATCAGCCACGTGGCCCGTCCCTGGGGCTGCTCCCTGGCACAGGCTTTTTGCTTCTGGCTTCTCCCACCCCTCGCAGCAGCCCCCGCCCCACTGCTCCCCTTGTTTCTCCCATTTCCCTGTGCATCAGGCTCAGCAAACAGCTGTCTCTGTGTTTCTCTTTCTGTTCACACAGCGATAAGGGCCAAATAATGGGAAGGCGGCTTTGGGTATTTTAATGAGCCTTTATTATTGTGTCGGGGGAGGGGGGGCTGAGGGGTGAGGGGGTCAAAGGGGCTGGGGGGTGAGGGACAGCAGGGATGCCTGGTGTGGGGAGTGGGCGTGGGAGGGGGCTATATGGCACAGTGGGGATGCTGGACACCAAGACCCTAGTACTGCTGGTGGCAGCTGGGGAGGACCCAGGGTGCTGCCTTGCTCTCTGGACAAGCAGAGAATATTGATGGTAAACGCAGTTCTGGCTGCCCTGGGTGCTCAGTTCTGCTGGGGCTGGGCAGCCCCTTCCTCCTCCTTCTGGCGCAGGGCAGCGGTCCCTTGCCCTCCCCAGGGTGGGCAGGGGTCTGGTGGGCTCCTGCCTCCCCCCAGCTGAGTTGACAGTTCCTCTCCCCTCTCTGGTCTCCCTCCTCTTCCCAACAGCTGAGCCCGTCACTGCAGGAGGAGCCAGGGAAGGACGCGACAAAAATAAGTGTGAGTTTGGCTGAGGGTTCGTGCGGGGGCCCCGGGATGGGGGGGGGGTCTGGTCTCCTCGGTGCTGCTGTGCCATGGGCTGGTGACAGAGGGGTGAGGAGGCTGGACCTGCCCCAGCATCAGTGCTGGGAGCAGGCAGGGTGAGGGGCAGCTCCCCCATGCCCCCCCAGACCCTGAGTCCCGTCCGGCTCCTGTCGGCACCCGCAGGGAACTTTACACTGAGAAAATAATCTAATTTTCTTACGGGATTAGCATCCCAAAGCCATTTAGGCTCATGTGAACGGAATGAGGAGACAATTACCAGTTAAATAAACTAAACCCAGGTTCCAGCCCTCTTTGCCACCATTCCGGTGATGGGCCCTGTGATGCACCTGCAACCCACACCCGGAGCCTCCGGGTCTGTCCCGTGTCCCTGCTGAGGTGCTGTGACTGCGGAGCCAGCCCAGGACCTGTGCTCACGCTCACCTCCGCCATGGCATTTTTCAGCATAATTAGGCAGTTAATTGCACGCTGGAACGCAATCAATGCCTGTGCATCTGTAACCAGGATTTATTTCGAAGCACTGGGGGTGCAGCACTTCTGCCATCTCCTTCCAGTCACACCAGCAGGGAGAGGCTTGAGGTTTAAACCTTTTTTGTTGTTGTTGTTGTTATTTTGAATGTCCTTGATCATTAAGTGTTTACAGAATGGAGGAGATAAATGAACACGGGCGAGACACCTGATAAAATGTGTGTTATGGCCACGGAGGCAATTGACTGAGAACAAACAGCAGCGTCAAACAACACGAGACAATGCAAACAATGTGCAGGATCCACCACAGCAGGGACCCCCCGGGCAAAGCCCCCTCGGTGCTGGAGGCAGCTCCTCTGCCCGGATGCAGAGGGGAACCGCTGCCGCCCCCTGCCCTGCGGTAGCAAACACAGCGGCCCTGGGGTTGTTTCCTTCTCTTCCTTCACAAAACCCGCAGATTTGCCGCCGAGCAGCGGCGCGGGGCTGGCACGGGCTGCCGGTCGCTCCCGCCCCGGCGGAGCCCCGGGCGTTACAACCGGCCATAAAATTCTCCCTCCCATAACGAGCTGAGGCTCGGTGACCTCCTGGAGCAGCTCCACGGCCGCTGGCGGCACCAGCAAATTGGGGTTTTCTTTTATTAGTTCTACATTTCCCAGCCATTAATTTCGGTAAGTGGCTCCTTGCTCTTCTGACACGAAGGGTTGGGGGTTTTTTTTGAAG